CCCCAAAACCCCAAAACCCCTTGAAGATATTATTGATAATGTTTAAGAAATGAGAAATTATTAAATCAAAGAATTTGTCATTATTATCTAATCTCTCTAACTTTTTTTGTTAATTGATCGATTTTTGTGTTGAATTAATCTGATTTTACTTTCGCAACTTCTAATACTTTGTCCTAATGAATGAAAAATAAGTTTAGAAAATTACAATCTTACATTTATACCTGCTAGCTTAGCCACATATATACCAAAACTTTATGGAGCTACTCCTGGTACAAACTTATATAAAAATGATACCTTTTGCTCATTCTATTTGTAGTCACATTTCATATGATAAAGGCCAACTTTATCTTATATGTGTACGAAATCGTCAACGAGCATATGATAGTGAGTTGTGAATAATGTCCTGCACTTTACCTTATTTGCTAGAAAAGACAAAACTGAATGTGCAATAGAATATCCATCAAAAGTTGAAGTTCCTCTGCCTAGTTCATCCATAATAACTAATGAATTTTTAGTAGCCTATTCAACAATAGTTTTAGTTTCCTCTAACTCAACAAAGAATGTACTCTTATTCTCAAGTATTCTATCACTTGCACCAATCCTTGTGAAAACTCTGTCAACTATGGTCATCTTACATGATAATGCAGGAACATAGCAGCCTATCTAAGCCATTATGGAGGCTAAGCAGGTCTATCGTAATAAAGTACTCTTACCACCCATGTTTGGACCAGTAATAAGGATGATATTTGGATTTTTGTTATTCATTGCTTTAAGATTTCCCATCACACAGTCATTAGGAACAAACTTTTTGGGTTAATTATAGCTAAACAAAGCACTTTTAGCCATTTACTCCTAAACACAAGGATGTCTCATATCAATTAGTTCAATATATGGTTCTCCATCATTATCCTCAATAATTTCAGGTCTACACATAGGTCCATAATCCTCAAATGAACTGATTATAGCTAGAGCACAAAGACAATCTAACTCAGCTATGCATTAAACTACCCTTGTAAAGATAGATCGGTAATTATAAAATTTCTTGAACATGTCTCTTAAAAAAGGCACTAAGGCATCCTTAAATTGCTCTTCAGCTTCTTCAAGCTATTCAATCAGCTATCTCAACTCGTCTGTTTAATATCTTCTTTTTCCCTTTGCATTTGAAGTATTGATATAATGATCAGGAACCTTTTTCACAATTTCTTCTGGAACATCTATCTCGTATCTAAATCTTGATGATCCCATGGTGTAGTTAATGTTTTGGCTTTTAAGATCCTTTCTAGGAATCTGAATATAATCGTCAATTTTACCTTTTACTTTTTCAACCCTATTATTTGCTTTGTCAAAATTTTCATCCAAGCCTGAAACAGGTTCTGGAATCTTTTTCTTACCAATTGATTTCCACTGTATCATATCCTAAAACTCATTCAAAATTGGCTCAAAATCTGGGAATATAGCCTCTTCTTCCTCTTCATTTTTTTCATCTTATGATGATATTGCCTATGAACTTTTTCATTTTTTATTTTTCAACTTTTTGGTCCTGCTTTCCTCGTTTTTAAATGTGACTAAAGCCCTCAATCTTTACGATTTGAGGCATTTTACCACATCTTTATCGAATATATCTGATATGATCTCTTTTAATTGTGATAAAATTTCAATCAAGCTGTAGAACTCATCAAGCCTAGTTAGGACTTGGTTATCAATATAGATAGCTTTAACTGTTTGCTTGGCTGAATAAGTGTAAATTCTACTCAATAGTCTCTCCACATCTGGAATTTTTTTCAATTTAGCCTATAGTCTGTCTCTAACAACTTACTCTCTTACCAAATCGGTGACAGCATCTAATCTTTAATTAATCTTATCAGCATCTTTTAAAGGTCCAACTACCCATCTCTTTAGAAGTCTCTTTCCAAATGAGGTAGCACAACCCTTAGCCAAAAAGTTAAAGAATGATCCCTCATTATGATTACTAGTTCTACCTGGAACTTCAAGTAGCTCTAAATGCTCTATAGCTTAGGCATCAATAACCATATTACCAGACTTTAAAATCTCTTATTAATGTTCATCTTAAGTATAATAATCTGCAACTGGAATAATTGTCTCGGCCTGAAGCAATTACTCAAGGTAAACAATACTTAAACCAAAAGCAGTTACAGCTAGATGATTCATTTCTCCTTGGCCTTATATCAGATTTTTAACAATGACTGGCCATGTTTCTTAATCCTCCCCAAAGTATTTACTTAACTTCTCTATAATTTTGTCATCCTCATGAAGATCTTTCATACTAATATAGGAAAATGATGGTGGAGCTGGTGAGTTTTTGAGAATCATTATACTCTCATTCTTATCTTTCATATTTGAAGGAATGATTGTTTCAGTTGGCCTGATTTAAAGGCATAAAGTTCTAAAAGTCTTAAGTGTAAAGTCATCTTCGAATGAACCAATGTAGAATTTAAGGGTAGATACATCAAAATAACAAAATCCAAATCTGTTTTTCTAGTCCTAATAATAAGATAGTACATATTTCGTATCATAATCAATTCCTCCTTCAATTTTGTAAAAGGTACCTTTACTGTAAATCTAAGCAACTTCTCTTCTGACAACTTTGAGATCATTTTCAGCAGAATCTCCTGCATTCGATATTCTTTTTGTCATTTGTTTACTAGTCTCAGTTTATTCTGCTATTGCTACTTTTAAACCATGCTATACAAGTTTTTCTATATTTTCCTTTAGATGACTTTAATGGAATCCTATCATTTTCTGAAGCTACCTTGGTGGAATGCAAAGATCTAGTATCTTAGAACAAACTAGTGAATCCTGATAATATAGGATAAACCATTCACCCCACCTGTAGAAGACTATTTTATCAAAATTTTTGCTTTTTATATCCCAGTATCTCTGCATTCCTGGAGTCATTTATGAAATATCTTACTCAGGAACGAACAAGGTTGAAGGATCATAATTTGGATCATCAGGCCTTCTGCCTTCATTATCTCTGACATACTCTTTTTGAGTAAACCAAGGACCCCCTCCTACCTAATCTACAAGATCGTACATATTTCTCTAAGGATTAGACAAGCTTTACTTTTCTTCTTCTATCTCTTAAGAGTTTTCATTTTTTATGTTAATTTTTATGTCACTTTCCTTTTTATCTTCATCTTCCTAATTTTTAATATTGATTTTTGACATTCTAGAATTGGTATTCTTCTATTTAGCTCTTGCATTTCTGGGCTTGTTTCTGGTTGATTAAGATTTGCTTGGTCTCCTTCTCCCTCTCTTATCTGAAAAGCTATCAGCATCTGATTCAAACGACTCTTCATTATCTAATGAAATAATGCTTGCTTCTGATTACTCTGAGATACTCTTATCATCTTTAGAGACTTAAAACTCAGACTCTTCATCACTCTCATCATCATTCTCACTTGATGAATTGAAATCTTAATCGCTATCAAAGTTTTCCTTCTTCTTATTTCCACTCTTTGTTACATTAATTCTATTTCTTTTGTGACTATTTTTGTTGGCTTTCTTTGAATTTTATTGTTTTTAACTTGATTTATTGACTGGAGTTTTGGTGCTCTGTCTGTGAGATTTAGATGGAGAATTCTTTACTTTTTAGATTTAAGGTTGAGAATTTTCTTGTTTAGTTTTTTTATCATTCAATACATTTTATATCACCTTTTCTTCATCTTCAGTATTCCTTTTAATTCTCTTATTTGTTCTTGATTAGGACTTGCCCTATTCTTATGGATGTTTCGATGGTCTCTAAGAATGATATGAAGCTGATTCATCAGGCTACTCTTTTTTCAATTCAGAAAATGTCCTTTTTTTGTTGGATTAGACTTTCTTAATTGATTTTGACTCTTCCTCTTGTTTTCCAGATGCTTTAAAGCCCGAAGCTTAACTTCTTCTGGTCTTCATTTAATTTACAAAATTTAAATGTATCTGATAGATTTTGAATTTTATGGTACCTTGGGGTTTTGGGGTTTTGGGGTTTTGGGG